TAAATAAATGCGTGTCGTATTATGAATGCTCTATTTCTTTTATAATATGAAAAATACTTCTAAATATAAAAGTTTGTTAGAAGATAAGCATACGTCGTCTATTCCAAAGCAATCAGATTCAAAATGAATAATTTTAGTGTGAACTGCATTCAGTCTCTTAATCTTACTCTTATTAATGGACAAAAAAAATTTCAGTTAAAATTTTAAAGTTCGCCTACTCTTGCTTAATAATTTTGAAATTATATAACTTCCGCTTTAATTTTTATTTCATACCAAACTCATTGAAATTTTAGTTATCAATGGTAATTTAGTATTACAAAAATATTGAAACTTGCATTCGCGTTGTCGTAATGAAGTGACATTAGAGACGAATAATAAAAATTGATCTTGAAAATTTTTGTGAAATTTCGTTTTCATTTACAAATTTTTTTATTTTTAATAATTTCTTGCAGTCATGTCACCCGCTAATAAGAATAAAATTTCAAAATAAAATGATAGTCGCAACGACAAATATCACATAGGTGACGTCATAATCGGAATGTGATTCATTATCAACCCCATATGTTCTTATCGATATTCCGAATGTACGGTTATTTCGAAATCGACAAGGTTAATTTTAAACATTCTCATGATTATTAAAATTATTTTTTTATTGTTGTATTTATTTTATTTGTATCATAACTGTAAGTGGGCATTAAAGAGTCAAAAATATATTTAAATATATTTGAATTTTTATTTATTTTTTATTTTTAAATTTTTACGCTACGTAGAAGTGCGTAAATTTTATCACTATTAATTTGTTTTTATTTTTCGATTCATGTGTTTTAATACCTACTACTTAATATATTTGTAAATAATAAAGACCGGCTATACGAATATAGAATGTGTATGTATGTAGATATATAAAACGAAGAGTATTGCAATGAAATGTATTGAAATGAAACTCAGGGAAAGAAACCGGCAATATGAATTCTATTAAATTAAGTGAATTTAACATATTGGAGGTGGTGTGGCGTTGACGCAAATATTTGTAATAAAATTTTTACTAATGCATAGTACTATTGCGAAAGCGATTTTAAATATTTATTTTAAAAATATTTTAATTGTTGAATTTCATTGAAATTTCTCAGAGAAGTTAATGAAATTTGAAAGAATTTAATATTTGAGGTAAGCATATATTATGAAGGTTAATAAAAAACATTGTCACATTTACGATTGCAGATTATTGAAAGAAGATATTGGTGAAGGAGCATATCTCATCGCACTTCAGTCAGTCATTGTTGTATCCTACCATTTCCTAACTATACTCTTCTGGTCCCAAGGGAATACCAGGAAATATTTTTTACGAAATTAGATGTGAATTTCTCAATACTGAATAAAAATTCTTAAAATAAACATATATTTAACTGTATTTTCAAGAATGACGATCGATTAACATCCCTATTGAAGTATCTCATCAATTATAAATTAAAGTATATTAAACAGAGAAATCATACAAATTCATCGACATTTGGTGTAATATCAGTCTAAGAAATTTGTAAACTGTGACCACATAAATAAACGATGCTCACAGAACCAGGCAAAGACCATGCGAAGCCGCCTTTTTCTAATTGTTAAGTTTGCAGTCTTTAATAAGAAGATCAAATATTACATACGATCTCTTATTTACATAATCATATATTACAATATCTTATTTACATGTTAAAAAAGTATAGCTGTTTTTGGTTGGGATAGACCACACGAAAACGGTACACGAGGATGTATGATAGATGAAAATACAGAAAAGTCCAACAGACGAAAAGACTTTTCGATTCAGCATCATATTCGGCGAATTAATTTTTTTTTAAATTTAATCTTGATGCGAGAACCATAATTAATAAAATTACATAATTACTAAGTTATTTTAAAGAATAAATATTAGGTATTTTAAAATTGTATGGCAAATCTTATTTGGTAAAAGGCGTCCTAATTCTTACCTCGTCCCCTGAGTTTATCAAAAACATGCTTTTATATAGTTGCAATCTTATGTATACTTTATATAGAAATATTTTTTTTTTATTTTATATCTATAGCGAATGTTACTTCCACGAAAATTTATAGCTACCAAGCCTCAAGAAATCACCTAAGACTAAGGGTTTTGCTTTAAACATCACAGAACAGTTTTATATAAGAACGTATCTAAAATATTTTATATACTTGTAATTTAGTTCAAATCACTGAAATTTCTTGTAACCGCGGATAGTTATTAAAGGAATTCGAATTATTATTTTATATTTAAAGACATTTGTACTTAATACTTAAAAAACTTGGTTGCGGCATTGACTCTGTTATATTCTTTGCAATAAAGATCATTCAAATTTTAATATTCGTCCAAAACTTTTATTTATTCTATGACACGAACTTAATAATTAAGTCATCAAATTTTATGAAATTGAAACCACCCAACTCAATTATATAGTCATAATGCTATTAGAAGTTATTCTTCAAAATGACAATTAAAAAATGTTAAATTTCATTACTAATTAAATGCTTATATTTTCAACTCATATTAATAATTTAATATCTTTTTTGACCTCATACATAAGACTATAGCTTTAGTTGTTGCCAGCAAAAGTATTCAACAGTTTAACCACTTCTTTTTGGCACCATGCCTTAATTCTATATAAAAGCATATCCGTAGGGGAAAAATAATTTTCAACAAATTAAATTACATATTTTTTCATTTTTGTAAAAACAAAAGAATAAAAAAAAAACAAAAATAATAAAATAAACTGGGAAAATCGCTTAAAGTGATTTTTTTTGTTGCGCCTTTGTACTGTTATATTTCGACAAACATATGTAAGATATTATTATTATCTTCCTCCTTTTGTCCTTTAGTTTATTATAGTAGAACTAAGATAATTGCACATTATCATTTTATAAATATTTACTATGTGAATTTAATATATACAGTTTTGCTGAAAATATTGGTTCTTGTCCAATTATATAATAATGTGCTTTTACATAAATGCATATGAAAAATATAAACCATGAAAAAAACAATAATAATGTGCGGTAAAAGCGGGTTTCATCCTTGTTTTGGCACTATTATTTAGTACATTGAAATACAATGTAAAAGTTTTTTTACTTAGGGTAAAATGGGCTTTAAATAGCGTGCTATTCATAAAATTTATTCTGATTATTAAACATTTCAGTACATTTAAGCTAGAAGGCGGAGAATGTTTGAATATAATTACGATGATCTGATTAAGTTACAAATCTGATGGCAGTGTTAACTTTAGCTCTTTGAAAACTTTGAAATTTTTTTTTATAGAATTTTTCCCAGCTATTTTTAAACATTAATTTAAGTGCTCAAACACTAAAAAAAATATTATGTTATAGAAGATATAGCACGAAAACCACAAATATTGTGAGCAACAAATTCAATTAAAATCAAACCGGATGTTGATAAACCTAAAATTAAATTCAATTTATCATTCCTTTATCAAAAAATTTGTAAAAATACGAATTGCTCCTTTGAAACTCACCTAGTTCGGCAAAAATTTATGGTTTTCTTCTTTCAAATCTATTTCTATTCAATCGCATATTTAAAATTAAATGCTTTACTGGAACACCTTTTTAGTTGCATCAACCGTACATCAATTTTAGTTTTTGTAGAAATATTTTTGAAATTTATTCTTCCCTTTAAATTATTTATTAATTATTTATTAGCTTAATAATGGTAATACCCTATCATCTACCAACTCCATTTTGTTCAAAAAAATTAAAATTTTCTATTAAAATTTTTTTTTTTTCATTTAAAATAAATGTCAAAATTTGTATGGCATGTCTTTAAAAATTTGCTCTAGCTTTTTAATTTTAATAGCTTCAGATGCCAAATAGTTTCTAGATTTCGAAAATATTTTTTTCAAATTTTTAAATTGCACCCAATCTGAGAAAAATGCATTTAAAAATTTCAAACCATATAGGTACCATTTCTTATAAAAATTGGCAAAAATAAAAAACTTGTCAATTTTCTTTACCAAGAAAACTTTCGAAAAAAATTTTTTGATTACTAGATTTTTTTTTGTTTTTCCAAAATGAAAATTCTAGTTTTTTTTTTCAAAAATTTAAAATTTTTTATATTCAATTTTTGTTTTTCAAATTAGAAGTTTGTATAAAATATTGCTTCAATTTTGTTATTATTTATTATTATTCAAATGCTCATAAAAATGTCAGCTGTTTTTTCGAGTGACTTTTGTAATCGAAAATTAGTAATAGTTGACAGTTACTACCTTAAAATCCTGGCATAGAAATGGTTTTTGTGCTACACCTTCTATGTTTGAGGACTTAAATTAAAACTTAATTAGCTAGTAAAAATTCTATAAAAATAAAATTTCAATGTTTTAAAAAATTTGTTACGAAATTATCTAGCTAGAAAAAACTGAAAAAATCAATGGAAAAATTTGATTTTCTTTAAAGTTCGAATGTTTGGTATTCTGAAGGTAAGCCTTTCTGAAACTGTTTGTTTGAAATTCCTATCTTTTTCAGCACCGAAGTTATAATCAAAAAAAACCTGGATATGTAAAAATTTCGTGAAAATTCGTTAAAATTCCTGGAACTCGGAAACCCTTGAGATTTGGCATCGAGTTCGAAACAAAAGTTTTACCCATTTTCAATCTTCTAATCAATGATATACCAATGGAGCTCTCACAAATTCTGTTTTATAGTTCCGTATCAGTACTCTAATTTAAAATGTTCGACAGCATAAGATATGTATTGCTTTACTTTGATTCTAAAAATTTGATGTCACGTCAGTTACTTCGATTGTGATTTACAAAAATTCCAATATAGTCTCCTCAAATTCTCTTTTCCAATTATTTTTCATTCAAATTTTCATAATATGAAAGAAATCTTTCAATATCGCTTGTGCGTCTACAAATAATTTTCATCTGTCGAAGTTTTCTCTATATACGATTTTGAATTTCTTTTGAAATCTTACCCCTATTTACCCTTAAAATATGCATTTAACGGGTATGATACTGCAGACTATGTTATTTCTAACGTATACATGTATATGTATGATAAGGATAAAATATGATTATGCGTTTATGATTTTTTGGCTTTTTTAAATTCAGAAACCACAGTTAAAAAGTGTTAAGGTTTTTGTATTCACCACATTTTGTTAAAGTATAGTATTCAACAAAATTATACTTAGTAGATTTTATACACAGGAAATCTTTTTATCAACAAAAAGTTCTATATGTATCATATTCAAATAATCTCTCATGTCATTGCGGTTAAATTAAAATTGTTTTACATATACAGTTGGTTTGTTGGCAAGTACTTAAATTTAAAAATTAGCATAACATTATTATAATTGTTTTAATATAGAGTTAAGATGTATGAAAATAAAGTGTTGATAGAAAAACATTTAGATAATTACATAAATTTATTTAAGGTGTTTTTTAATTAAATACCATGACATTCCTGAAACAGGATGTAGATTCAGTATTTAGAATTAAATTTCTTAATTTTGAGTGCTGAATCTATCTCTTTTATTGTAATATGATATTCATGGGATGAGTTGAAATTGCCCGATACGAAAAAGAGTTACTGAAATTTCAAAGGCATTTTTAATTAAACAAATATATTTTTTAAGGAAAATTCATTGGAATTTTGTTAATGAGTTAAAAACTAAAAAAATAAATTAACCCTTTGTCTGCTATTTATGTCTTTCGTATAAGATTTCAGTTTGAGACAAAATTCATAAAATTCATAATTTTTATTGATCTATCTGTTCAATACTTCGACCATTGCTCGAATAACAATAAGTGGAAAATTTCCAGTTTGTACTTCAACAAAAATTTCTCTTGTACAATTATTATTTAACTAAGAGACTCAATTTTGCTCTCTGTAAATAATGTTGTTCATTAAGTTTTTGTACGTTTTACTAATCCCGCATATTTAAAATTTTGATTTCTATTAAAAGTGAGCACATTAACGACCCCAGTTTTTCTATTATTATTTCCATTTAATTCTTTAAACTTAAAATAATGAAATTTTTTTATAACAGTTGAATAAACTGTACTGTTCACTAGCACAAACATACAAAAGAAGTAGTAAGTTATACTTTTCAAGTTCAAAATTTCAAAAAATTTCTAATAGGTCAGGTATTAAAATTATGATAGAATGTAAAACCACATTATAACCTAGTTTGTAAGTGTTCTACATGCCAATGATATTATTAACAAATTATTGTAAGTAAAAGTCAATGATCAATGTGCGGTTAGAGTATAAAAAAGAACGATGTAATATTTACTTATGAGTAATGTGTTTTCCTATGAGTAATTGTTGAAAATAATACAGTGTGTTTCAGCCCAATACAATGTTCCTTTAGTAAAGTTTATTGAAATTTTAATGGTATTAAGTTAATAACATTTATAGGGAAAGATGAGTTTTGTAACAATTTAAAGGCATGATTTTTTGCATTATTAATAAAATTTAATTAATTTCCTATTAAAGTTTCAATTCAAATATAGGCCATTAATTCAAATAATTCACTCAGTATTACTTATTTCTGTCCTTTACAATAATTATTAATTGAGTTCTATGAAATTTGTGCAAATTGCTTATACAGTGTATATTAATATAATTAAATGCAATTTGTAGTTTTATTAAAATACTATAATGTCATGCAATGTTATTAAATAGAATTTGTCCTAGATTGCATTGCATTGTAAAATATATCAGTCAAAGAATTAACTCTATGGTGTCTAGACCGTTTTCATTACAAAGTCTATTTTAAGATTAATAATAAAATTTACTGAAATTTTTTTTGAATTTCAGTGGTTTTCGAAAATTTGTGTTTTTAGTTTGAAGAACACAATTCTTTTCTCGATAATTCAGTAAGTATTTAGTGTAAAAAATCGTTTCACATATCATCGTTTATTGCTTATTGGAAAAATTAAAAGTAAAATTTTTGGTTTGTCTTAGTAATCTTTAATTTCATAAGCGTTATTAAAAATTAATTGGCGTCTAGAATTTCGTATTACTCTATAATTGTAGAGTAAAATTTTTGTACAATTTTACAATTGGTTAAAATTTTCATTTGTCTCGTTCATTCTTACGGAAATATTAATAAAGGTATTAAGGTATTACAATAGATTATAAGATATCAAAACCGATTTTGAACCGACTTAACATAATAGTATATGTTACAGCAACTCAGAGTTCATTTTCATTTGCTACTTAGAAGTTTTGTTTCATTAAAACTTTTCACTTTTAAAACAAGTTCATTTCATTTCAGTCGGTAAAAATCGACCGAATTATACCTTGCACCTTGACAATCTGAGTTTAAAAATTTGGTTTTGAAACGCCTTTGCAAAATTTGATATTAATATCTCTATTAGTTATTGAAATATTTAAAAAAGTCTCTTTAAATTATGAATGGCAGCTACCCGAAGCCGTTGTTCGAATTGGCCCAATTACAATAGCAGCCGTCCCTGGCAAAAAAGAAAAAAACTTGGGAAAGTTTGGTTTCGATTGAAATATTTGTTTTTAAGTTATGAAGACGACTCCTTTAAGTGGTTGCAAACACCATAGCAAGGTGAATATTCCCTTTACGAAGGTGCAGGTACGAAGGTGCAGGGTATAAAAATACTAAGCATATGATTAAGAGAAAATTATTGTTATTATCATAACTTGAAACGAAATTTATAACACGATTCACATTTACATATTTCTTGTTTCATTTTACCTTTCAGAAATAATACGCTCAATCAAGAGAGAGATTAAATCTTAAGACCATAAACATATCGTGTAATTAATGCTATTTACACTTAGATGTAGCAAATGGTTAATATTTGTGTAATATTTGTGTTAAGACATCAACATTTGAAGAGCAAAAAAATAAAAATACATAGAGAATGATTAAGAAAAGTTGGAAATTTTTTTAATCTATACTTAAACAATTTGAAAGATATTAAAGTATAATTGAAGAGAAGAAGCAGCATTACTGGAACTACTGAAACAAAAAAAAAAACTAAAAAGAAAATTATTTTTATTTGAATAACGTCTGTTGAACGTTTTACATTGGACGCGGATTTTTCTTTAATTTTTAAATTTTAATGTGATTAAAAAATTAAGTTATTGATTAAAAATTTTTTATTATTCTTAACTAAAATGGATTTAAAATATTTAATAGGTTTGGAATTTAATTTATATCGTATTATATTTTTTATATTTAGTGTGCTTAACTTTAAATTACAATTAAAATCCAGATTAAATTTAATAACATTTTGTTTTTATTCATAGGAGTTTTGTGGATTATTAAAAATGTACAAGGATTATTTGAATATTGTGATTATCGATTACAATTAAATTCGTCAATGCCGAAAATTTATATAAATTCACCAAATTATCCAAATAATTATCCGTCCGGTTCATCGTGCCGATTTCTTATAAAAACTTCATCATCAGATTATCGTATAAAATTCAATTGCAGAATTGATTTTGATAAGGTAAAATTTATTATTTGATTATGTTTAAGATATTTTGAAATAAATTCCATTTTTATATAATAATTATAAATTTATGAAGTGCTATAATTATAGCTTCAATTCGAAATCACAATACTAGGGATTCACAATAGAATTAATATACTTAATTGGGATTGTTAATGTGTTCAATTTAAAATTTATTCAAAATGTATAACAAAAAGTTCGAAACAGTGAGTGCTATTACTAATTATTAATTTAAAACTAGCGACTGATAGCAAATTCATAACTTTGTTTTGTGGATTGCAGACACTAATTAAATTTTGCATATATTACAGAGTGCAGATTGAAGAGTGTATTATTATTTTAATTAAGACAAATATTAAATGAGCTTTAAAATAAATAATTGTTTACCTTAATATGACCATTATAATATTAATACTATGCATTTATGTTAATTAGCTATTTTAAATATAGACTTTTTGCCTTATAATTATTACAAGGTTGTTGAATTTAAGTGTTTGTTGTGCCATCTGTTTAAGTATTTTGTAGAATAGATTTATTATTATACTGTACGATATTTTGAGTCACTTAAATTTTCATTTGGTTAATAATAAGCCCTTAGATTAAAATTTATTATTATAGAATTATTAATTGAATAGCTAGCTATAGATTTTTGTAATTTCGAGTTTTGAATGATAAATTTTGCAGAAATTTATTGCTATTCTTACTTATCTGTCCCTAAACTGTTGCTTAAAAGAAAGGGTACCCATTGTTAATAAGAGGTAAAATACCATTTATTTAAAGAAACCATATTTATAATGTTCCGTTATCATTATATTATATATGACATTTTCATGGCTTAGCCCACAAACTGTTATAATTAACAATTTTTTCTGTTATGTTTGACAGAAATGACACTCGTCATTAACTTGGTTGACGATCGCTTTAATACATTTATATGCAAAACTCTTTTACAATTGATAGCTAATATGATTATTACTTGGAATTTCCGAGCATTGCTGTACTTTTTCCAAATAAACAAATGTAAATAAATTTAATTGTGATTCTAATTTTAATTACCCGTTAATTTTAATAATTAATTTAACAGAAACAATTCTTTTAATTTCAGAATTCGGATAACAGTTGCAGTACAGAAAATTTTTATTTTAATAATCAAGGTTCAACAGTAATACCAGGTTCTGAATTTTTTTGTGGTAATGGTAATTTTAAAAGAAAAAGTGTTAATGATAAAGCAACAATATCATATATTTCGACAAGTTCAAATCAAACTGGTTGGTTTTCATGTTTAGCTGAAATGGAACGAATAAATTGTAATTGCGGATGGAGTAATCCAAATTCAAATCAAGTAAGCGCAAGAATTGTTGGTGGAAAACCATCAAAAGTTAATGAATTCCCATTTTTGGTTGGTATTCTTCATTTAGCATACCAAAGGATATTTTGTGGCGCCACAATAAGTAAATAAAATATTAGTTTATTAATTAAAAATTTTAATTTTGAAAATATTTTTTTCTATAGTACATAAAAAATATTTGCTATCAGCTGCACATTGTTATTCAAGTAATGAAACAAATGATCCAGAAGAATTAAATGCACTAGTTGGAGACAATGATTTTACAATAAGTAAGTATGATATAACATTAATAGTTATAATACATAGCAATTTTATTTAAATGATCTATAATTTATAGGGAATCGCTTTACAAAACTTTATGATATCGAATATATTATTTATCATGAAGATTATGATTCAGATAAAGTTACAAATGATATTGCAATTTTAAAGACAACAAAAGATATTGCATTTAATTCTGGTGTAGGGCCAGCATGTTTACCATTTAAATTTTCAACAAAAGATTTTGTAGGTTCTAAAGTTATTACAGGTGGTTGGGGTACCATTAGTTTTGGTGGTCTACAACCAAATTCTCTGCAAAAAGTCAATTTAGATATAATTTCAATAATGGAATGTCAAGTAAAAATTAAACATTTAAATTTTGGACAATTTTGTACATTTACAAAAGGTAAAGATGCTTGTCAATTTGATTCTGGTGGTGGTTTATTTTATAAATCAAATGGATTATATTATGTTGTTGGTATTGTTAGCTTTGGATTTTCATGTGCTACAAATTTTCCATCAGTTAATACAAGAGTTAGTACATATTTATTTTGGATTCAAAATAAATTACAAGATGTAAAATTTTGTCGCAAATAAAAGCTTAAATTAATAAATTTTGTTTTCTTTCATAGTTTTGTATAATTTAAGAAATTTTGGTATTATAATCTTTAATTTCGTTTTATATCTGGGTACATATTAGTTCGAGTAGAGATACACCGTTATTATCTCTGTTATATAATTAGTTTCACAAGGGTATGCCAAAGAGAGTTATTTAAAATTTATTTGCATGGACGTGGAATAACATTATTGTACAAAATTCTTATTTGTGTTTCCCTTCATAAAACTTATTTCTGTATCACCTTTAAAGAAAAATTTTAATCTATTGCTGTGTTTCCACTTGTACTTAAATATGCTGATTAAAGTTGCCGAATTACTTGCATAAAATAATTTGATTCCAATAGAATTACAGCACGTCGTAGTGGTTGCATCGAAATAAATTATTGTTAGTAGCTCATCTCATATTAAAATTATAAAAAAATGGTGACCTTTTCCGTTTTTAACAAATCTGCATAAATATATACAAATACAAAATATTGGAGTTCAATTATATAGGTACATAAGTGTATGATCTTAAAATATGAAATAAATAGTAAATCTTATTCAATTTTTTATCAGGAACACATAAAAAAAAAACTGTCCTTTTTTATTTCTTTGTCATATATTTTATTCATATTTTTACATTCTTACATTTACATAAACATTTTTGTAAACTCCTGTCCCATAAAAAAGTCATACTATATACAACTATAAAATATTGTAAAAAAAAATGCAAAGTACATTCACTATAGGATACACAGCACACCACGGTGGAGTTTCTATATATAAAAGAAAATAAAAATAAATTAAAGCTACTTAGTAGTAAAATAAAAAATGAAAAAAAAAATAAACATAACAATTTTAATTAAGGAATACAATATCAAATCCACAAATAAATAAAAAGTAAATAATATGGAGACGAGTTAAAAAATGGAGAATTTTTTATGTTTGCCATTTTGCTATTTTTTTCTAAAAAAAATAAAAATGAAATGAAATAAAAACGAACAACGACAATGATAATAATAATAAAATAAAATATCAGATAGCATTAAAATTGGAAATTGTGAGGGTATAGGTGCTGGTACATTGTATATCATATAGATGTACGGAGTATATTAAATCAATGATATTCTTAGATTTGAAATTCCCAGGGCTTTTAATTTAAATAATCGCAAAATTTTGTGACTATAACTTTGAAATGACGTCTACATCATCTATGAAAACACAATTTTCCAGTGTATAAGCTAGTTCTATTTTTGAATTTCTATAATATCTTATAATATTCTTAGACTTAATTTAGTTTCTGTTTAAATTTTAACCATTTACAAATAGATTAGTGACTTAATTTTAAGATTCTTAAAATTTTGAGTTTAATTTGCATTAATTTTTAAATGTGAATAAAGCTTAATTTCTAATTTAAAAATACACGGTAGCATTGGTCTTAAATTTTAAAAATTTTCTCATTAAAGACCCTTATCGTCTTTCAAGCAAATATTGTCTAAAAGTGTGTTATAAAACAAAAGTTCTGTGTTTCATAACAGGCTATGATGCGAAAATTGATTAAACTCACCTTATCGGTGCAATCCCCAAAATTTTTAAAATTTGATCCACATATTTCAGGTTAAATTTTTGTTCTCATTAGTCTTGAATACACTGTATGCTTAAAAACGGCTACATAGTTTTGGTTTTTTCATAATTTTATTTTTATTCATAAATATGATGAACTTTTTATTTTTTTTTCAAAATCATAAAAATCTGTAGTTGAAAAAGGAATTCATTTAAAATATTTCGAGAAAATACATAAAATATATAAGAGCAAAACTAGCAATAACAAGAATTTTTTTTTGACAATATTCTACCGGCTACCTTTATATTGTTGGTATGTCCAACTGAAAAAAATTCTGAAACAAACATTTTTTATTTTTTTGTTGTTTTTCAGTAGATGAGGTATAAAGTATAATTTTTTTTTAATAAATTTATTTTATTTAATATAATATGGTGTAGAGAGTATTTGCTACCCTTGGCAACATGGAACTTGTTCGCTGTAATAATAGAACCGGGAATTTTATTAAATGTAAATAGAATGTGTGTATTGACATATGTATAGGAAAAATTTTGAAATATACATAAAGTTTTTGATATTTAATTTTTTTTTTATATTTTCGCGACTCACATCGCGGAATTATTTTCTGTATTAAAAGAAAATTCTTATGAAAAATACACGAGGGCGAAATACAAGTAATAAGTAATTCGGAATAACAAAATCTTGCATAACGCAAATTATCTGAATTTTTATTTTAAATTTTTTTGGAAAAATATTTAAATAGTAGCATTAGAACATAGAATATTAGAATAAGAAAACCTATGTATATAGGCATAAATATGTAATAATCTTAGAGAAAAATTCTGTTTTAAAACATGCCCTACTCTAAATTCATAATTATTTATAAGGAGAAATAACGTTTTGCTGGCAGAATAAATTTATATATCTTACCAATCCCAATTCTTTATTTACAAACCCTCGATTTTCACTTTCTTAGGACCTATTTTATAGACTGGACCCTAGCACAATCGATTTTCAGAGGGTCCTCGAATTAAATTTGTAGAACATGCCGATATCTTTTTAACAGTACTCCACTCAACTACATTTAATAGCCTTTAGTTTGTTTTGGAAGGAAAGGGGCTTGAACACAATAAGATTGAAGCTGTCATCAAAAGCTTTCTAATAAGTCCTTTCCCAGCTTGGTAGGTCATCTGAAAGCTAAGTTATAAGAATTTTAAATTATAAAAAATCAATAATTATATATATCTGATTTCCAGGCAAACAAGGAACGAAGTTTATGATAAAAAAAACTGTAATAAAATAAAAAATTTCCAGAAAAGGAAATATTTTTTCTTTTCGATTTCTACTTTTTATCTAATAAATAAAAATTTTGCATACTTTTGGTATAAAATTCGAGTAGTTTTAGCCTAACGTTATGCAATAAATATATAAGTAGGAAATTTATATAAGAGCGAATATTTTTAGAAGAGAAAAACCAGTTGAGAATGAAATCTTCCTTCATTTCTTTTTCCATCATTTTTTGAATTTTCCTTACTTTTCCAAAATTCTTTATTAGATTTTTCGGAAAACTCTATACTTACTGATTTGCAGGGAAAATAATTGCGTTTAATAAATTTTACTGTTAAATGCAGGGAAAATAATTGCATTTAATAAATTTGCCTTGTTATGGAAATTATCAAAAAATGATTTCCTTGAATTTGTCTACTAGAATGTTCACAATATTTTTTGCAAGAAAAAAAAAGCGAAAAGGAGTAAAATCCGCGAAAATGTTTTTTTTTTTATTTATTGTTTTCCTTGTTGAATTTCAACTTTTTTTTTTATTCATTTTTATCAATTTTCTGTCTATTTCAGTATTTTTTATTTGGGTATACAACCAAAATGTTTACTTTATGCGAACACATAACCTACGTACGTACGTACGAGTATAATAAAAATATAAGCAAATTATACACAATACATAATGTTGTTTTGTATAAAAAAATATATGTGCAAGTACATGCTTCAAAAAGAAATTAGGAAAATTTTAGAATAAATGAATATTTTCTACGAGTGTTTGTTTGTTTATTTATGTTTTATTGAAAAATAAAAAAGAATTTGATTTTTTTTTTCGGTATTTTAAAAATTTTCATATTGTATGCAATCTAAGAGTTTGAACACTTGTGTGGTTCAACTAAAGTCTTATCTTGAATTTACTCAATTAAAGATTCATACCAAAACAGAGCAAGTACGTTGTTAAGCGTAAGAATTGATTCGGGTTTCGTTAATGAGTTTCACTTACCGTGAATTATTTTTCATTAAAGGTTTCTTTATCGTCAGTTCTGCATTGCTTGCCTGTTATTGTTGTCCGTATGATTTATTCGTGGAAATTAAATATGCACAAGTCTGCAAGAAAGTTTTAAATCTATAAACATGTTTTCAAGAACTCTGAGATTTTTTTTTTAAATTACTGTTTATAATTAAAATTATTTTTTGATACAACAAGAGCTGCTACAGAAAAGGATTAGAAAATTAGTTGTATTCTAAATTAAACTTATAATTTTGTTCAAATCAAATGAACCAACAACGAGTGAATATGTGAGAATGACAACTGAACGTGCATTTTTCAAACCGAATTGTATACCAAATTTTTGAAATGGTATGCTTTAGAGCAAAATATGAGTAAAGTTTGGACGCAGTTTACAATTTTGTCAAGATTCTTGTAAATGTACATACAAGACTCCCTCCAGAAAAGATCATAAAACGAAGTTTTTTTTTAAAAATATTATTATTATTGAAGGACCAGCCAACGTTTATATGTATATATGTATTTGCATATGCATATAATAGCAATATTTTCATTAACATATGTTAATATTTTAAAAAAATTATTATTTGTGCGGATGTGTAAATTAAGATACATATATAGGGTGTTTTAAATTTATAATAAATTTTAAATAAATTGAAGTTCGATATTATAAAATTCAAAATGGTTTGGGGAAAACAAATTTTGATTATTTTTCTGTTAATATAATGTGAGCTAACAGTATGTTTAATACAATATATTTGAAGCCTCTAAGCATAACAGTGAGGATTTACAAAAACTTGTCAACAATTTTCTCAATTGTGCATCTCATAATTTTACGTCAATCAAAAATAAAATGAACCATTCTGTAAATCAGAGTGTTTACAATCAAACAAAAATTAATACACATGTACGAGTATGTATGTCCGTAGATGTTAAGATATGTAACATAAATATTATGGAGAGGTACATATACATTCAAACGCATAATAATATTCGCTTGTGTGGATTGAACATACTCACATTATGTCAGTGTATGTATGTGTTAAAAATAGAAAGAAGTTAGAAAATATTTTCAGCGAAAAAACAAATGAAAATTTCTTTTTAGGTTTTTTTTTCTTCTTTGCTTAAAAATATTATACAAAGCATAAAAAAAAGAAGAAATAACGAGCGTCCAGTTGATGGGCATTCAAAACAAGTGAGCGCTTATTCGAATGAGTTGCAAAAATAATAAAAAAAGAAAAACGCTTATTTCGGTTTCGGAAAATGTAAAAAAAAAAATTTAATTTGTTTTCTATTTCTTTTTCTAATAAATTTTTTCTTTTTGGTTTTTTTTTTGGCATAGGGGGGAAGCTTTTCAGATAGACCTTCATGTGTTGTTTCAGCAGCAATTTTTTATACAAATGCCTTCTATCATTTAAATTTTAATTTAAAGTTGTGTTTTTAAATTTTTGTTTTGTCTCTTTATGGCGGCGGCGGTGGCTGTCGCATCATTTTATGTTGCTTATTCTTGTCTATACAACTATATACACTTTTTTTTGGCGATTATGTTGTACGCTTGTTTTTATTAATGCATCATATAGGCATTAAGGTTTAGGCTTTGAGGATAATTCATTTGGCAATGAAGAATTTTGAATCGTGCAATTTAAAATACGAGTTTTGCTATACATATTTTTGGGGGAAGTTCTTTTCTTTTTTTCTTGTCCTAGAAGAATGAAAAAGGATTTGATATGGCGTGGATGATTATTTATTGGAAAAAAAACGAAAATAAGAAAAAATTATTAATGAGTTTGAAATGCGAAGTAAAATACAAAATTGGTAGTGGTATGAGGAAAGCAGAGTGGTTGTTATTGTTTCAATGGTTAAAATCGGTGATCAAATCATTCGTGATTTTAATATATGTACATATATGAATACATAATATGTAAGTCTATAATCACAACTATGTATAAAATAATATGAAATTTCAATAATTAAAATGGCTTTAACCTGCAATAATGATTTTATATTAGTAAGTATCACAAATACGGACAGTGGACATTTACAAAAAAATTAATGTTACTATTTCTGTTACCATGCTGTAGATTTTTACAACTAAGGTAACAGTGCACCGCGACCACGTACTAAAAAAAAATTTATTGTCAGCAAAAGTAAATTGAATTTAATTTAAAAAAACTCAAACAATTTTTTTCTAATACATTAAGGCTTAATAGTTAGGAACGCAAATAACAAAACATAATATTCTAAATAAAAATTCTTGTAATTTGTTATTGATAACTGGATTCTGATAATTTAATTTCGAACTGCAATCAGCATTAACTCGAATTTTAAAATTCCAAATTCAAAATTGTAAAGTGCGAAGAAAGTGTCGTTGTTGTTGTAAAATATCTGCGAAATTTCAAGAATAACTCCATTTTGGAATTTGTTCAGTTCTAATATACATAGATCGTAGGTAATAGCTCAAAG